TATATATATATATATATGTTTAGATCACACTAAGGTCTAGTTTAAGGTCCAAAACAGGCAAATACTTGCCTGCTTAGGCTTTTGACATCATCTATAGATGATGTTTAAGGTCCAGTTGTGTCTAAAGGGAGCACACAAATGACGTTAGGTCCTGATATAAAGTTTAGTTCTGGCATCTACAAATTTAATAGTAAAACAACTTGAGCTCCTGTTTTCAAGTTGAGCACTTTTGAACAATTAAACAAGTACAAATGCTCCTGGTGTCAATCTCATCAGGACCTCACCTGCTGAGTTAAATACACTTTAGAGTGGCCTTTTGTTGTGGGCAGCCTAAGGCACACTTGTGCAATAATCACGCTGTCTAATCAGCATCCCGAGACGCCACACCTGTGAAGTGGATGGATTATAGACGTGCTCAATAACCGATTTACACAAACTTGTGAACAATATTGGAGAAAAAAAAAGCATTTTGTGTGTGCGTAGAAAAAGTCTTAAACCTTTGAGTTTAGCACATGAAAAATGTGTGCAAAAACAAAAGTGTTGCATTCATATTTTTGTTCAAAACTGTCAATGGTTCACCCCCCCCCAAACTTTTAATTATTTATTAGTTTTTTAATCAACAGACATTTAGTTGATTTGTTAGTCAAATTTATTCAATCTTGTCTTAAGTGCTGATCCATTTTCACCAATTTCATTTCAGGAATGGTAAGTGCTGTTTAAACAAATATTTTTAAACATTACATGGAAAACATTAGCTTCTCATTAGGTTCATGCATCTTGAAATGTTGATTTTTGGGCATTTTTCACATTTTACTTCATGTTAAAACATGTTCAATCCAAATGTAATTTATTTATCATCACAGACGTTGTCATACACATCTGCCCAACAAGATCCTCTTTCCAGCTGTTCTCATTCATAGCTGCACACTTCTAACTACAACATGTGTCTTCAGTATTACTAAAGACTTTAAGTTAACACAGCCTCACTAATCCATCTGACTAGTTGCTGTGCAGGACATTTCCAGATTAAATAACTGCTTTTTTTTTTACTTTTACTTTGCTTGCCACTTGTTGCATTCTGTGTTTTTGCTTACTATTTCCTAGAAACATGACCTATATGTTTTATTGAACCATATATTTATTATAGTGAAGGTGTTAATAAGTAAGAAGCGCTCCTGTGTTGAACACGGACAAAAAGACAAACTTTCCAGTAACACTTCATTTAAAATAACACAATTTTAAGCTGAGCAGGTGTTCAGTATTCAACTTTGTTGGCTTTAGTGGGACGAGCTGCTAGAAGAATAGTGTGAAATGAGTCTATCCGCTTCTCTCCACCCAGTCAGAAGCGCTCCATGGACAGTGGAGTAGTAGCAGGAATGAGTTGCTTCCCCAGCAAACAGCACCTGCAGGGGCTGAAGCATATTCATATGGTTAATATAAACAAAAATGCAGATTAGTCTGTTTTTGCATAGAACATCTCAATTTAAATATGTATTTGTGTGGAAATAAGACCATTTTTTAATCTGTGCACCTGCTCTCCTCTTTTGGGCAGTGGCTCCATCATGTTCTTTATGTTCTGCACTGAACAGCCTACAGCTAGGTGACTGTAGGATCCTAATGTCCAGGGATCGTGAAACCACTGGGTGCACATGATTCTCTTTGGCGTGATGGTGCGGTCTCCTGAAAACAAACATTTACGCTGAAACAGACCAACCTCACATAGCCTAAGACTAGAGGTGCAGTCCAGACGTGTAATAAGATTTTGTTTTTATCAAGAGATATTAAGAATAGTGAGAAATGTGTGTTCAATAATTATAGACCAATCCTTGTTATCACAGTTTTCAAAAATTTTAGAAAAAACATTTGTGACCAGATTGGATCAATTTATTGTTAAACAAAAATATTCTAAGTAGCAGTCAGTATGGGTTTGGAGCAAAAAACTACATCAATGGCTCTCGTGGAATTGATGGAACAAATAACAACTGCTGTTATCAAAAACAATATTGTGTTAGTATTTTTGTTGATTTAAAGAAAGCATTCAATACTATTGACCACATTATTCTCCTTGATAATTTGAATAAATATGGCATTAGAGGACTAGCACTACAGTGAGTATCTAGCTATCTGAAATATAGGAAACAGTTTGTACAAATAAATGATGTAAGATCTGACCTCTGTAATATCACATGTGGAGATCCTCAAGGGTCTGTACTTGGACCAAATTTATTTATTTTATACGTGAATGACTTGGTAAATGTGTCAGGACTCATTAAATGTATTCTATTTGCAGATGATACCACATTTTTTTGTTTGGGTAAAGATATAGAAAAGATGTTGGAGTTGATGCAGACAGAATTTGTAAAAATACAAACTTGGTTTAAACTTAATAAATTATCATAAACTTAAATAAAACTAACTATATGATATTCAGTAATAGAAAGAGAACTGTTGATGTTCCATTTAGAGTCGAGGGTGTTGAGATTTGTAGAATTAATGAGGTGAAGTTCTTGGGTGTTATCATTGATGAAAAACTGACATGGAAACAACACATAAATTATGTAAAAATAAAAATAGCTAAATCTATTGTAGTACTGTACAAAGTAAGGGAGTTATTAAATGACACAGCTCTGTATATATTGTATAACAAAATAATTGTTCTACATTTAATCTATTGTGTTGATGTTTGGGGGAAAGTGTGTAAAACAATTACAAATCCTATTTTTGTTTTACAAAAAAGAGCTGTAAGAATTATTACCAGGAAGCATTTCAGTCACCCATCAAGCACATTATTTTATCAACTGAAATTATTGACGTTCCATGATTTGGTAGATTATAGTATTTTATCAGTTATGTATAGGGCTCATAATAATATATTACCTTTAAATATCAAATTAAATTTTGTTAAGAGAGAGTTGTTATAATCTTAAGGGGATAGAGATATTTGTGAAACCTATATTTCAAACTAGTTTGAAGGGACGGTCTACAATCCAAGGAATTAGATTATGGAATAATCTGGAGAGTGATGTTAACAATGCCAGATCAATGCATATGTTTAAGAGAATGATCAAAGTTGATTTGTTAAAAAAAAAGTGAAATAGCTTAATGTGTATTTGTATGAATTGCTGCTCAAGAAGGAGTTATTTTGTTTTGCTATTTGAAGATTATTATTGTTTGAATTATTTTTTTTTGGAAAAAAGGGGCAGATATTATAAGATTTTTTCTTCTTTCTGCTGCCTTTCATTTTATTTGGGATTGTATTTCTTATTGTATATATAATTTTTTTGTTTTGTTTTTTTTTAAAATGAATAAACTTTAGCCCTGCGATGGACTTGCGACCCGTCCAGGGTGTACCCCGCCCCTCGCACAGTGATTGCTGGACATGGGCACCAGCGACCCCCGTGACCCAAAATGGAATAAGCGGGTAAAGAAAATGGATGGATGGATGGATGGATGAATAAACTTTATAATAATAATTTATTGATCCTACATTGATTTATTCATTATAGATAATGAATATTTTTTAAAAAGCATACAAGGTTTTCTTCTTTCATAAAACCTGCTGTGCATGACAATAAAAAACTTTGGACATTGTCTTTGGTGTATAAGTTACATGTTGATGTTATGTCACTGCTACCTTGTGCAACATTTACTGACAAAGCTCGATTTTCCGTTTTACACTCCAGATGATAAACAGAACACTTATGTAACCTGGACCACATCATATTGTCTCTGATTTAAGTTTACAGTGATTTTAAATGTTATGAGTAAGAAATTAAGAGTAATTATGAGTATTTCAGATACCAGATCACATATATTTCATGAGAGTTTTCAAGTTGATTTTGAAACCATCTCCAATTATCCAATGGATTATGCATTTCTATATTATGAATTAAACACTATTTAATGTAAACTTGAGTGTATAACCTTTGCCAGCCTGTTTGATATTCTTTTGACCGAAGTGAGATTCACCTGTGAAAGTATGGATGAGCTCCGTGATGCAACGTCTGATTTCATCTTCAGGAAGTTTCTCCATATACTCTGCCTCATACCCAGAAATCCAGCCGCAGAGGACATGACTGCCACTGAAAGGTTTATAATGACCAAAAATTACATCATGCCACTCATTTGATTTCTGACTCAATGGTTTTCTGTGCACACTTTTACAGAGGGATTGGTTCAGGTGAGTCACATGTATTTGACCTTTCAGAGGGTTTGAGCACGCTGAACGATGAGATCTTCCTCATCCAGTGTTTGTGTAAATCTGAAACTTGATCTGAAATTTTATCCTAAAAAACAAAAATGTATGTTAAAAACATTAGTGTGTATATTTTTAAGCTATTTTTTATAAAGAAGAGCTCAAAGCCAAGCAATCTGAGCACTGGCATCGCGATGATGAAAATAAACTTGATGTTAAAAGCTTGATGGACATTTAAAACAATACTTCAGAGCTTTTGAAGTGAGATTCAATGGAACGTTTATGAGCAGTAATATTTTACTTTGTTATAGATAGCTCTTTTAAGGGCAAGAGTTTGATAAAATATAGGTTAGTTTTCACTAGAATGACAAGCTAACAGCTAGACTAAGTGGAGCCAAAACAAAAGTGATTTGTTGCCGATTTTTAAATATTGCTGTCAATTTTGCATTACACAGTTAATAAGTATAAGTGCTATATGTTGTCACTATTGTATATTCCCATACAATGATGAAATTGGTTCACTGCATTTAACCCATCACATACGGGATACACCCAGGTGGAGCAGTGGGTAGCTATTGAGCGCCCGGGGAGCAGTTAGGGATTAGGTGTCTTGCTCAGAGACATCACAACATGTGGAAATGACTGGGAGTCGAACTGCGACGTTCTGGTCCAAAGTCAGCTGCCCTTCCTTTTTGGACTCCATCTCGACTTCTACCCATCTTGGCCCTTAAGTGCACAGTTGTTATTAGGAAACACACACAGCGGAAACAGGAACTAGCTGTAACATTTCTGGTGCAGTCTGGTTGTTTCTGCCAGAATAACCATGTAATGTAAAACGAGCAGTGGTGTAAAAGCATCTGAACGATTTCTTATCAGGGTGGCAAGGTTTCGCAGTTGGTAGAGCTGTTGACTCTCAGTGAGAACGTTGCCGGATCAAATCCTGGCCGGGGAGTTTGTTTGTTCTCTCCGTGCATTCGTGGGTTTTCTCCGTGTACTCCGGTTTCCTCCCACAGACCAAAAACATGCATGTTAGGCTGATTGGTAACTCTAAATTGTCCCTAGGTGTGAGTGAGAGAGTGAATGGTTGTTTGTCTCATTTGTCTCTTTGTGACCCTGTGATGGACTGGAGACCTGTCCAGGGTGTCCCTCACCTCTCGCACAGTGACTGCTTGATATGGGCACCAGTGACCCCCACGACCCAAAAAGGAAAAAGCAGGTAAAGATAATTGATGGATGGATGGTGTTTAAAGATGGCAGCAATGCACTTAGGTCTTGACCTACTCAGACTAGCTAGTCAGATTATCTACTTAATCCAGTCAGAAGTTGGAATCTAGCAAAAGGGCCTTCTCCTACTCTGCTCCTGTTTCCTGGAATATCTTGCAAAAAGACCTGAAACTCTCAACCTTGACCTCTCTAAGTGGCTTTAAGAATCTGTTGGACTCCTGGCAAGGACCAATGCAGACATGTTTCTGTTTTTAGTTTTCTTCATTCGCCTTACAATCTAGCTGTTTTTGCTACTTTTTTTTGCCATCTTATTTTAATTTGTTTAAAAAAAAATCTGTATGCCTTTTTATAATTGCCTATTGCTGTCGCTGTTGTCCATTGTCATCATTCTTTGTTGAAATCAGGTCTCTCTTGTAAGCGAGTCCTCGAGGCTCAATGGGATTAACCTGTCTAAATAAAGGTTGAATGAAAAGTACAGTAATATGTATTTCTTCTAACTTAAGTCATTCAAAGAACTATCTATAACAGATATTAATTTTATAAAACTCCTCAACAGAACTAAACTTTAAAGATCTGAACTATCTTTTTAAGTTAGAGTAATTTGATCAAAAAGCACCACAGACCTCATCATCCCACACCAGATAGATGATCTCACAATCGGCATCCCACCACGGAGAATTAAACTCAACGTGGATTTTATCGCATGTTCCAAATCCTAGTTTGTGAATGGACTGCAGCTTCAGAGTTGGAAGAGGAGGTGAGAACAGGGTAGAGTGGTGCTTCTTCAAGTAACCTGGTAAAAACAACAACAAAAAGACAATACTTGAATAAGCTTCGATTTAGATAGGAGATATTTTTAGTTCTTTAAAAAAACACATGTATGTATTAATAGAAGTCTACCTAGAGACACAGTAACAATAACATGATCAGCAACAATCTCCTCCCCATCGTCACACACCACCATCACTGGGTTTACTCCGCTTTCTCTGTTGTTCCAGTGAACGCAGCGCACTGGGCGATTGTAAGTCACTATATTAGTGGGCAGCTCGGATATCAAGTTGTCGATTAATCCCTCAAAGCCACTGAAAGAAAATATAATGTCAATTTTATTTATATAGCACATTTACAAACAATACCATTGACCAAAGAGCTTAACAAGGAGGTTAAGAGCAAACGGGAAAAAATAAGAATAAAATAAATTAAAACAATCGGCAATTATAATAAAATAGACTAAAATAACATAAAAAAAATCATAATATAATACAAATTTTGTAAGCCTCTAAACTCTATATTCACAGCATTCTGATGGACTTAAATACTGAAAATGACTTCAGATATTTCAACTAAATGTAGCTATGTGATTCTATATCCACCAGTACTGGCACAGAGGTGATAATTAAAGAGCTGGAAATGGAGTTTACTCCCCACCCCCACACTTTGTGAATTGCTTCCTCTGAGTAAAACAACAAAATATAAATACTGAAATATTATTGATTTTATAGTTTGATCATTTGAATGTGTTTGAATAGAACAACAGTGAATATAGAGGATAACGCTAATTATTTTTATAACAAATTAAGAATGATAAAAATGAGAAGAACTTAACAATAGCCCCAAAGTAACAAGCAAATAAAAATGTGAGCTATATTGTTGTTTTGGTACATAGGAGCTAAAAACACATATTTTTCTGTTTATGTTAAATATTAGTTTGTTTTGCTTCAGTGTTAATTTGTCCACAATAATGCAAGTCTTTATACTTTAGAAAGTGCATTAGTACAACTAAGAGTGTATTAAAAAAGAGAAACTCTTTTAAGTTGCATCCAAAAGCCAATTGATTTAATGAAAATCTGCTGCATTTACTTGTCTAAAAGAAATCAGGATAAACTTGTATCAATGAAAATTGCAATTCATCTATTTTCCTAAAGCAAAATGAAATATTCTTTTACTTGTTTTACATTAGTTTATCTGAAGCGGTAAAGTGCAAACCTTGGGAAGGTGCAGTCCACTCCTTTTAAATGCTCGTAAACAGAAAATCCAGCCAAGTCTAAGACTTCCATTGAGGATGTTGCACTTGAACAACACTCTTCCTTCAGCATGGTATTAATGGCCCCCAGCAGCAGCCGCCTGGTGTTCTTATCTTTGCCTTTCCACCTCTTTTCTGTTCGCCTTCGTACCTGCACACAAATAAACAACAGCAACAACAAAAACAGCTTTTTTATCCGTTTTGGAAATAAATACGAGCAGACACATAGTCCTAGTCACCAGTAAATAAAACCTACCTCTGATCTTATAAAATCTCCAACACTGTGCCAGGAGCGTTTTTTGTGATTCTTAGACTGTGGAGTGTTTTCTATGAGTTCATGAAACAACTCCAGAGCAGGCTCCATACATTCAGGATTCAGCTTCTGACCTGATAATAATAATAATAATAAAGATCAAAATAACTTTTCTGCACATAGCATAAAGTACTTCTTTCATAAAAAATACTAGAATATGTTTGACAATAATGAAGAGTTCCATTAAAGTAACTGGATCAGAATCAGGATGTACTAAAATGGCTGCTGATGTGTTTTTAATGTTTGGACACCTGAACTGCTGAACCAGTTGGGAACCAGTGGTGGATATTCTTCGACCTGCACTGCCTGGTTCTCAGGGGTGAGGGCTTTGGGATCCAAGCAGTTATAGTCCCGGGCCAAACAAAACACAGGGTTCTTCTCAGATGGACCGTGGACAAAAGCTGCACCTATCTCTATCATAGTATTACCTACAAAAAAAGAAAAACACTTTGTTAAGTTTAGTCCATTTGTATCCTGATGCATGCTCAATAATCCAGGTAGAACAATCTAACAATGTTAAGTTACGTCCTCTGGACGGATTCAAAAATAAATACTTAAAAATAAAGTAAAAATTAATGTTTTAATTTATGTATTTTTTAATCCGTCCAGTGGACATGACCTTTGTTAGATTTAGTCCAGTTGATTCTCAAACAGTTTCTGTTTGTTTTCAAAGTTACAGTCTCGCCCTTCATTGAAATTCTATATTTAAGATTTTCATTTTATTTTGTCCGATACGTCCTTTTAGGTTTTATTTCTTCAATTAAACTAAAACTGAAGGCTCAATTCAACAAAACAGATGGCATAAAGGACGTAATTTTCAACAGCTATTTAAACGCCGAGGCTTTTAATACCAATATCTTCTGATTAGTCAATAATCACATTGGATTCATTCAGTGTTGTGTATTTATTCATTTATTTATTGATGTCTGAAAGTTGAAATTCAGGTAGACAACAAAATGAATTGAACAAAACTCACCCAGTTTGCCCGTTTTGATTCGTCCTCCACTTCTGGCAGTCGCTTCCAGTATCCTCACATTCTGAAATCCAGCTTTAACAAGCTTGTGTGCAGCAGCTATTCCTGATATCCCACTGCCTATTATAACTACTTTTGCTTCTACATTTTGAGCCATAGCTGCTCCACATTTAGTGCCGTTTCCTCCTCTCCTATAATTATTTGCTTCTAGTACACTGTTTTCTCCAGCTTGCCAAGATAAAAGCTCTTAAGTTTTATGAGCTATAAAGTGTAGATAAAAATTTACTCACTCTACTGTACAGTAACTAGAGTCGACAGTACACAGGTTTTAAGTGCTGTAACATAGTAAGTACACACACACACAAAAACAGAACCAAGACAAAAAACTGTTGTGCAAATACAGTGCTTGAATATATTTAGATCAGTATCTTGAAAAAAAAGATAGATTAATATCTATATATCAATATATGCTTAAAAAAATCAATTTGTGACATCAAAAATGTCATACAGAGCACTTCGATGTCTGAGTTGAAATATGTTTTACATATAATATTGTTTTTTTTTCTACAATAAATCCCTAAGAGTAATTTCTATGTTTACAAGTTCTTTTGAATGTAAATATATGAAATGTACGAACGCCAAAGCTACTTTAAATCTAGCAGTTTGTAGAAATAAAGAAAATATGTGCAATAATCTAGCCAATTCATTTTGTTGAATGGACAGCGACTGCTTTTGTCTTCCTGTATTTGCAGAAACAAACTCGCTGAAACTCGTTTTTTTAATTATGTACTATACACATCCTGATGCATGCTCATGTATAATATTATACATTACGCACAAAAGTAAAACAAAAATAAATTTTTAGATTTTCAACGAGATAAATAAAAATAACTGGTCACATTCCTCTAATGTAACTAATTTTCACAAATAAATAATATGATGTATTAATGGAGCAAGAAATATAAAAAAATTTGCTTTCCTTACTTTGTTTATTTACAATTACTTCCGGGATCGTCCCTTCACCGACCACGTGATCTACGAATGTTCTACACTTTTCATGCACTACTGCCCCCTCCTGGAGCAAACAGGAACAACATTTATTTAGTAGAAAACCAAACATTTTTTTCTGGCGCCTCAGTTTAACTCTTGCTACAGTACTGTATATTGTTTTAATGTCTTCCATTTAGTCTTTCCTGAAATCACAAACCTCATTCCCAGAAAAACTGGAAACTTTCAAAAATTCAACAATGTTTGTCTGTAATTTATTGATTTAAAGCATATGTAAACAAGTTTTTGTTATTCATTAGCCTTCATATATTTACTGTATTCAGAAAACTTAGCATTGTATGCTAGTAAACAGAATAACTCATAGATAAGGGGAGAAAAGGCAAATTACAAAAGAAAAGTTGCCTTGCTTTAAATGTACAAAAAAAAATAAAAAAAATACTGGCTTTACTATTTTAAAAAAAGTGCTATGTGTTGTCCTCATTGTATGTTCTATTTCTATGAAGAAATTAGTTCTCTGCATTTAACCCATCACGTGTGGGAAGCAGCCAGGAGGGATGGTGGGCAGCTATGTAGACGCCCAGGGAGCAATTAAGGATTTTGGGTGTGTTGCACAGGGGCTCCACGGTGTGTGGGAGGGGCAGGGAGTTGAGCCTGCAGATTTCTGGTCCCAGTTCGGCTGCCCTACCTCTACCCCATCTCAGTCCCCAATAAATAACCAGGAGCTGCAATTAAAGAAATGCAATTCAATAAATAACTCAGCTTGACATTACATTTCTAATATTTCCAGTGAACACATTGGTTTAAAGGTGCTCCTGCCATTTATTTTCAAACTGGAATGTAGATTCAGCAAATTCATCAAGTCAGAATGGTTATTTCTTATGGGATTGTCCTTCTAGTGTTTGTTTATAATGGTACCTTTGCCAAGGAACATACTTTTGCACAGTTTGTGAAAGTAATGTATTTGTGTGTGTTTTGTCATAACCATTGGAACAGTCAAGTAAGATCACTGGTCACCTGACCGAAGGTCTGTGAACTCATAAAACTTTCCACATGTGTGAAACTGTGGGAGACAGGAAGTGACCTCATCTCTCAGGAAACCTCCATTGTTGTAATCACACAAAATAACACACCTTTTAAACTCATGAGAATGAGGTTCCTCCACCCCTCAATACACAAACACACACGCACACGCACGCACGCACGCACACACAGTAATTCGATAAAATGTGTTCAATTGGAAGAAAACGAACAAATAAAAATAATTTTAATGTGAGAAAGTGGCAGCGAAGACATTCAGCATTCATAAAACACTAAAACTGATTTATTGCATTTTAAGTCATAACAAAAGAAAAAAGTATAAATAATACATACATTAATAATTTTATTCAAAATATTTTTATATTAATAGATATAAAAACTAATATTACAGAAATAATAATAAGTAAGAGATGATACAAAGTGATGAAATACAAAGGTCTAAAAAATTATGTATCAAATAGAAGCACTTGTTCAGCTATTACAGTACAGTATTGGGAAATGTTCTCTTGGGAAAACACTGATCCTTAGTGTTCCACCCCACCGTCCCTTCCTTTCACACATAAATAAACTCATACTCTGTCACTGGTCTGACCCCTGCCTTCAAGCTGATGTAGGATTGTAGATCTCAGAACGCTGTACCTGCAGAGGTGGAAAAATACCAATATAAAACCCTGAAACATGTCACATAAATATTTAAAAATGCAAACACAGTAACATTTTTGTTGTTAGTATTTTACATTATTTAGTGTATGGAGTGTCGTTACTTTTAATGTCATGAATTGCAGATTTGAGTGTAAAGAACGTGCACATAACTCTGGTCATGGAGGGAAACCCACAGTGAATTATGTTAAAACGCCTGCTTTGGAGTTGTGTTTAGTTTGTCCTTTATGGAATATCATAGTTTCAGCAGCACAACACTGCAGGACATGTGGATCCGAGGTAGATCTGTGTTCTCTATGAAAATCAATCTGATCTGAAACATCTGAACATCTGAAAATCTAAATCTGTCTGATCTAAGGTAAGGTGTTGAAATTATTTATAGTTTCAAGCTACTTTAAACCAACACAAAGTAGCAATTATATTATTTGAATATTGAATTTGAATTTGTAAAATGGGGAGTGGTGGCGCAGAGGTTAGAGAGGTGGGCCTATGATAGGAAGATCGCCGGTTCACGCCCCGGTACCAACAACATGAAAAAATGTGGGTGGGGTAGGTGAAGCACCCACATTTGCCCCTACCCTAATTCGCCCCACCCTGGTCCCATGAGCAAGGCCCTTAACCCCCCATCTGCTCCCTAAAACAGGTCCCTCTTGAAAATGAGTTCTCATGGCTCAATGAGACTACCTGTATAAATAAAGGGTAAATGAAAAAAAAAAATATCAGGACATATTAATAATTTTAATTGTGCTAAAATTAAAACAAATAAATTAAAAAAGTTTAAAAATGACAATTAGACTTATTTTCTTCATTTTGCTTCTCATTCAGGGAATTTTGGTCAATGTTTATGAATGTTTTTAAACTATGGCTGAAAAAGTTAAGTGTGCCCATGAACCACGTGCTTGAGTGATCAGAGAGTTCTTTGCTCTCTCAGACAGAGCTGAATGAGAACTGATTTGATCCTGCATGTGCAGCTGGATGGCCAAGGTCACCAGGCTGTCTGTGAACCGGGAACTGATAAGCTTATTAAAACAATTGCTGCACACTGCCCGTGGTAGATTGCATGCATGCATGTAAAACTTCTGTACATCTGTGTAAGCTGTTGTGACAGTCCGCACTTGCAAGTAAAACCAGTTAAAAATCTTCCCGTGTCCTCGAGTGTGGCTTCTTTGTGCAAGTAAAATGAATGAAGGATACTTTTATCCATTGTTAACCTTTCAGGATTTGCCATGCCCTGAATTACTGAGAACTTGTACAAACATTCAAACATTTTAGTTTTGTGCAAAAAAAAAAAAAAATCATAAATATTACAAAGTTTAATACCTAGAGTAAAATTAATTGTTTTCTTCCACATGAAACATCTGAATCAGGACAACCTGCCAAATTAAAGTCAGGTGGTCAGACAGAAGTTCATGCTCAATAATCCAGGTATAAAATACAACAACGTTCAGTCAGGTCATCTGGACGGTTTCTTTTTTTGCTGAGACGTTTCGTCCTTCATCCAAAGGACTTCCTCAATCCGAGGAGCCCCTAAACAAAACTGATTCTCACAAACAGCGTACTCCACAGTGGAAAAAAAAAAACAGTTTGTTGGTGCTAAGATGGCCTCTGGGGCCCGCCCTCTTCCTCGTCAACTCCTGTGGGACAGTCATGCCAAAGATTGTTTGGTGGCTCCTCAGATTGAGGAAGTCCTTTGGATGAAGGGTGAAACGTTTCAGTAAAAAAAGAAACCGCCCAGATGGCCTGACTGAACATTGTGGGGTGGTCAGACAGATTTTAAAATGAAACAATTCTGTTGAGGAAACACAACACACGCAAGCATCAAGCAGACATCACAGCTTCCTCACGAGTTTTAACACTCAGCACATTTATTTGTGCTTAAAAAAATCATTCTTAAAGATCCTGTGTCTGAGCACACATGCTGAAACTCAAGTGTAACTGGAAGCAAAACATGTCGTCTGAACAAAAGTCACATTAATTTTCAGATGGCTCTAATTTTAATATAAATCTAAATATAACATTATAGCAATTCCAGTATCCCATTATAGTAATAACTTCAATAAAAATGTTATTCCCTGATTCCTAAAAGCAAAATAAAACAGGGTTATAGCACTAAAATTACATTCATACGAGCTGAATGATTACATGAGCTTTTAACACGTTCATCATTTCAAACAGACCATGTCCTCACTGGAGCTCACATGCAAACTTTGATACTAAAATCTTGGAGACACACAGATTAGCTTCAGTAGTTATGCAATTTTTGCTGCTGAACATTTTACTTTAGACTTACTTTTTAGTCAGTTTGGTTATTTCACGTTCTTCTTCCTCTTTAAGTTTCTCTACAAAGCTGTCTAAAACAGGGATCTCAAATTTTATGTACTGAGCAACCTGAGGAGGAAAAGAGGAGCAGCATAAGTCTAATACACAGTAAACAAAGTTAAAAAAGGTAGTTTAAAACAAATTATAATACTACAAGAGTACTTAGTTGTCTACTTTAGTAGAACAAATAACTAGTTTGTCATTTGTTTTGTGTTGACAGATATGAAGGCATTTCAAATTGAACTAAAAGGATTAATCCCGCTGCTGTAATTAAAAATTGTGGCCTCTCATATTGCTGATATGACAAACGTGTTCCTCCATTCTGAAAACATTCAATGGTCTGGTTTTATTTATAATAGTAGGGTCACAGTAGATATTCACTCATCTTAGCCTATTGTTGAATCTGTATCAAAACAGGATATCTTTCCTCAGCTTCCTAAATTTAACCAAACTATTAGTCATTGGCCCATTGTAGCATCATGTGCCTGTGAACTATAAAAATACATTATTTATTATCACAAACAAGACTGAAGGAACAGAGATAGTTGCTGTGAGAGGGCTTGACTCACATCGTGTGTGACTTCCTCTCCCAGGTCGGCCTCCTTGATGAAGATTTTGGAGATTTTCTCACAGGGTCCATAGAGCACACGAGTCACCAGCGGGCGTTCATCGTCCTTCAGTCGGGTCCTTTCTGCAAGAAAAATGGCAAAGAGACTACAGTAGTACCCTGAATCCCCGTGATAAGTGAAAAACTACAAAGTATATATATATATATAGGCGTTTTAAACCCTTCCCTCACTCTTGCAATATTCTAAACAATGTTTCTAAACTCTAAATCAGGGGTGTCAAACCCACTTACAAAAGGGGGTCAAAATGAAAAAACCTTTTTCAAACTAAGGGCTGGTTTCAGAATCAACATTAACTCGTTAGACACCCAACATCTTTTCTTGATTGCATGTTTCTTTAACAAGAGTTTGATTGGCCTCATTTGGCATTTTCTGTTGCATTTTTGACATCATAATCAAAGATTATTGAAAAAAAATATAAAGTGATAAAAGTATTTTACATTTAAAATAACATCTTGGGGCTTGGGGGCCAGATAAGATGTTAACGAGGGCCACATTTGGCCCCAGGGCCTTGAGTTTGACACATATGCTCTAAATGCTTTATTTTAAATTAAAATTTCATGCTGATCGTGCGGCTCATCCATCAATCAGCCAATTATGTGTCATGTCCAATCTTACTTTGAAAAACCGCGAAAGAGCGAGTCCACAAAAAACAAACCACGAAGTAGCGAGGGACTACTGTAAACGTTTTAGCAGATGAAAGGAAAACATTTTTAGGCACAAAATCAGAGTAAAAGCTACGACTCACCGCCTGACTCATGCACCATGTAAAGCACAAATTCATCGGTGTGATTCTCCACCTTGAATGCAACACAAAACAAATAAGTTCAGCTAAAACCTCACAGGAGGCGAGATCAGTCTGCACCGCTCACCCTAAACTTGTGCAGCAGGAGGCTGAGGACTTGTTCCGTCGTCATTGAGCTGTTCACGCGTACGTTAGTGACCGAGCCATAGGCTGGAGTGAACACGGATGTCTAGAAAAAGGAGGACAGATTAAAAAACGACCACATTTTCATAAAGTACATTGTGTTTCAGTGCACTTATAAAGTGGAGTGTGTATTCCTGGGTTTGAACACCTTGGACATTTTGGCCAGGAAAACTGAAACAAAAAAGGAAATCCCTTCATCTGCAGCTGGAATCTGTTCAACATCAATATTTACACATGCTGTATCAAACTAATGCAGGCACTCGGTGTAGATGTGTTTTCTGTGGCACCCTAATGAAATCAGCCCACAGCAGGCTATTGTGAAACGCAGCTGAAGTACAGTGAAAGGAAACCACAGCCCTGCTGCACCTGGGGATACGTCAAAAACGGGATGCATTAAAGTACATGCCCGATGGGATGGGTGTTCTGTTTATTGTACCTTGTGGTTGTAAAAGTGGCCGTTGATTGAGAATCTGTGTGTGCGCAAGCGCTGCAGGTCTCTGGCAGAGTGTGTGTTTGACCTTCTCTGAATGCGCATGAAGGAGGCGTCGCTCCTGGTCCTCAGCAGCTGAGGGGAGTCCTCTTCCTCCTGACCACCCATCTCACAGACTCATAAAAACAAGAGTGCATATAAAAATTGCTCAGTGGTTGAAAAAAAAAAAAAAGGAAACAACTTCCTAAACCGCTTAGGACAATCACAGCTAGGGCCATAGCTAAGTAGCCTAACCTTGTTTATTTATAGTGACAATGATCTGATCTCACATGAAGGTGCTGCAACACGTGGGCCAACCTTTCCACAAGGCACACGTTGAGTTGAAATCTCGGGCAGAATGTGTGTGTGTGTAATCTACAGTAATCCAGCAGGTCTGTGTGTGTGTGTGTGTGTGTGTGTGTGTGTGTGTGTGTGTGTGTGTG